CTGGTAACAAATTATTGCCCCGTGAAATATGCAATGCCAGGATTTGCACAATTCTTCATAGCTGAATTGCTGAATATTTTAACTGCATTACCAACGTACCTAGAATCGCGGTGACAAGAACTGGTAACATTTTTTGGATATACAATTTTCCGGTTACAAAATCTTCGGTAACGTGCAGAATAGACCTGTAAGTCTTTAGGAAAAACGTTGGATGGTCAAAAAAAGTTCCGTAGGTAGGAACCTTTATTTCTTTCAGAGGCAGAGCAGTTTAGAAGAAAATGCTAAAATGGTTGCACTGTGTCCTCGCCAAAACAGCTGAAGCTTGCCCTTCTATTGGACTATGTGTGTTCAGAACAAATGTCAAAAGTGAGAGATGGCGCTTATCCAACTAAAAAAGCTTCTGTGATCGCCTGCCGTCGACCACCGGCAAGAAGGATGAGCTCAAGAATGCGCCACCTAGCCAGTTCGGCAGAAAAGCAACTTCCTGCAGTGTCGCTTCACCGTGGAAAACTACTCAGTCAATTCTATGCTCCTTTTTCTGTACGACTTGAAACGGATTTTTTAGGTTACAAAAGTAGTTTTTATATTTTTTATTTATTTTAGTAATTTATTATAACATGCATTTGATTCTTATACGTAGATTATGTGCAAGAACATTATAATTTTAAGAGACTTAGATATTACCATAAAATGCAATTACCTTTTAAACCTTTAGTCAAATATTGTCGTATATATGTACATATATATATAAGTACACTAGTATATACTATATGGGTGTATATGGATATATTTTTTTGTACAAAGTTTCGTTATATATGTTTTTTTTCGATTCTGCTTTACAGCTAAAACTACGATATGGAAGTTCTTCAGTTCTTCTGAAATATATACATACATATATACAGAGCAAATGCTCTCTGATGGATAGATTTTTATACAACCCTAAGTGAATCCAGGATACAAATTTACATACAAAATTCATGAGTGGGCTGCCGATTGGTGGTTTGAAGCTTTATACTATACCCAATGATTTTTTATTCTCGCGTAACTTCAATAACAAATCGGCTTTTCCCTCACAAACTCTGCATCTCTTCTGCTGTCTTCTTACCCTTGCCACCTGAAGTGAGCATGCGCCAAACCCGTCGTAAGCAACCCGGCCGCTTCTCTTCTACCACCAAGCGTTGCTCCTCTAGTATCGTATCTAATATATAGTAACTCCCAAGACTGAACGGTGGCGGCGGCAAAACTGGAGGCTGTCATGATATAGTGCAGCTTTTCGTCTCCCCACCACTTGTTGCGCCACTGGTCGACGCCGTCATTGTCGCGGCTACACCGCCAATCAATGATGCGCCACCACCCCCTCCAATGCCGCTGCCCAAGTGCTGCTCACTGGCTACCTGTTTGCGCTTGCGCTCGTAAGCTATCGCATCGTTCGGCACATAGGACACACGTACACCGCCATAGTGTCGACGCGCTGGTATTCGATATAAATAGTCATCCATATCGCTGGACGAGCTGGACGAACAGGTAGAGCACGCACTGGCGGCATCGCAGTTATCGAGTTTTCTGTGCACGCCCGCCGCATGCGTTTGCGCATTGTGTAGGCGGAGGTTTGTCTGATTGATTTGCATTTCCGAGGAGCTTCGCGATTGATTTCGTCTTCGGCGTCGTCGCCGCGCATTTGTGCTGTCCGTATAGCTCTTCGAACGGGACATTGTGTCGTGCCCGCTGTGAAAGCGCACCTCTTTGAGGTGTGAGCGTGCATTATTTTCATTGCCATGTGCATCACTGTGGTCTTCATCCCCATCATCTTCATCGTCCTCATCATCTACATCGGATTTGTTGCGTGCACGTTTGGCATTCGACAGTAATTCATAGTTGTCATGCGGCAGCTCGCAGTTTTCGTTATCGTTTTCAAGTTCCAGTTCGTTGGTGATCTCTTGCGTGCTTTGCGTGAGTTCCGATGCACTTGGCGAATTAATATTGATCTTATCGATGCTCTGATAGCTATGAGAGTCCTCGCCTTTCGACATCAGCATATCCGGCAATGATGCCGCGAGGTTGCTTGGGTCACCATAGGCCGATTTATCGCCTTCGCAGATATTATCCAAGCTAATGCCCAGCTCGGTGAGATCAATTGGCGGCGGATGCGCCGGTCGTGGTACACCAGGCAGCGGTGGTATACTGCCATTACAGCCCGCAGCCAACTTGCCCACGATCATCAGCCTATCAATGCCCACCTCCATTCGCTGGCGCGTCTGCCTTTCCAACAAATCACCTGCACTACCGGCACTCTTACCATTGCTACATCCAGCTCCACTGCCGTTAGCCTTATGCCTCGCGCCAAGTCGCGGTGAACGCGCAATTTGACTCGTTGTACTGGCACGATGTGTCGGCCGGAGCTGTGGTCCCGAACTGGTGTCGGATGGTGTGGGCGGCTCACCCTTGCTGCAAGCGATCGAACAGTAAATTGTGCCGCGTCGCGGAAGAAACGGTCTGCCCAGCAGCGAACAGCGGCAGGTGCAACACGAGAAGCACTGATCTGTGGCATGCCAATGCTGTCCATCATGGCTCATCTGTCCCTGATCGACGCCGATCACTTCGCCGCAATAGTCACAATATTCAGCGAACATAGTATCGAAGCAGCTGAGGCAGTAGGGCTTGCCGTCACGCATGATGTAACGCTGCCCGCCAAGCTGATGCTCGCATTCGAAGCAGGCGAAGTGTTTCATGTGCCAGGTGCGACCTTCCGCTTCGGTGCATTCATCCGAGAAGATAATCTGGAATGTGGGAAAATACGAAAAGTATCAACTTTTTGTTCAATGAGTTGGAAAGGAAAGCTAATTGGGTGGAAAAATTGGAGCATAAATAAGACTGAACTTCATATTTAAACATATTTAAATAATATCGGGAAGTAATTAAAAAAACTGAGTATAAACAGATAAAATCACTTTTATATATTTTATTTTTAATTTTCGAAAAAAATACTGAAAAGCAGAAATTTATAAAGACCAAAAATTTTAAAATTTAGAGGTTTCTTTTGTGCATGAGACTTCAACCCACGAGTGAACGTAAATGGTGTTCTTAAGCTAACTACATATGGTATCTTAAAATTCCAAAAATTATCGTTTTTAATCCGAGTCCAAAATGTTAAAACCTTGCTATCGCATATTGTCTAGACAAAAATTTACGTAGTTTAGAACGAATTTTTGTCATTACTTATGAAATTTATTTCGTAGATAAACTGTTATAGTTTCACTTTGAAGTATCATAGCACCCAGGAAGTAGGTTCAAATATTTTCTATTAGAGAGAAAATTCTCAGGATGCTTTTTCCGATTCGCATGATCTTTGTATTACATTCTCTTGACCCAACCTTATCAACGTGCCTTCAGACATGGCAAATCCAATATTTATAACATTTTCACAGATCAACTATGTATTTTCAAAAATCGACCAGTCTCTGGTTGTGCGCGTAAAATGTAAAAAAAAAACCACTTCCAATGAAAAAATCCAGAGAGCCACGGATGAGACCGCTTCTTTTGATGACAACCACGACAAATGTTTGACAAATTATATGAACCTGGAGTGCTTTGACCGTAAAGGGCTGGTTAAGCTTACATTGCAGTGCAGTGCATAACACGCGTACTGTTACATAAAGGGTCCGTTTAATGAGTTTTGTAGGCAAGCGGTTAACTGCCGCACGGAATGACAAGGAAACGGAAACAGCGAAGTCTGCTGGATTTTAGTTTTTCACTATGAGATATTTTCAAAGAGAGCTGTCACTCTCATTGCTAGGGAATTTTTACACTTACCCCCCTATTCTTACTAAGTCACAACATAGCGTATCATTATAACGATTTCTACTGCGCTACAAGAAAGTTCCAGTCACCATGAAGTACCATCCGATAACGGACTAAGGCTGATCGATGCCGCTGGGACGCAAACATGGAACTAGGTTCCAACAAAAAGATCCATTACCCTACGTGGCATTTTGTCAGAAATTTGGGCGGCTTATGGAAGGTTTCAAGACCAGCATGAATTCCTGTCATAACAAATACGTCGACCTTGGGACTGATGTCAAAAGCTACTTAGATATCAAGTCAAACCCATTGAAGAAAATTAGTTTTTTCGCGCTCCTGTAGAATTTGGGGAGTCGCAAGATAGGCGGTTAGGCAAAGGCATCGCCGATATTGTATTTAATTGGGCTGGAGTTCTACTCCGATTTTTTGACTATCTAGATAATCTGGATATTCGATTATCGGAAAAAATCCCAATATCCGAATAGTGTGTTGACATGATCCTGCATTTGGATATTTCGGTGCATTTGCAATTTTTATGCTTGGTACCATGGCTACCGTTTTCATTTTATGTTGTTGTGAATTTGTAAATGTATCGGAATATGCAAATCCGAGGCCATATGCACCGGACTGTGATTACCATTATAGGGAAAGGATCTTTTAAACACAAAAATATGCATATGAACTATTTGGTTAATATTTAACTTATTAGAGGAATTTATGTACTAGTGCTACTACGCCAACAAGATGAACAGATGTCTATCGTAAATTAGACCGATTCTCTATCAGAACCAAATCCCTGCTGTGGCATTTACGTGTACCTTAAACGAAACGTGGGGTGATGGATCAATTCGGTCATAAAACTATAACATAATATTTAGCTTTACTGGCTGAATGAAAATTTGTGTTCTTATCTCCCTTATCGTATGATACATGAGAAGCTTCGCTCGCAATCGCAAACAAATAAATGTCAATACTGATTATATCTAAAGAACCAAGCTCTAAATCCAAACTTACTCTAATACGCTTAAAATGTAAACCAGATGAAAATGCAATTTAAATATGCGAAATCCTCTAAATCCACACACAATTTCCACAAATACATTTGCCAACAAAACCATAAGCCACGAGAGCCAGTGGCAAGAAGGAATGCAATCTGCGAATATGTAAGTAAACAAACAACATTCACTTATTTCCACATTTACCTCGTCGCAAGATGAGCAGCGCGGCTTTTGCGTCTCGGCGTGATGTCTGCCACAATAGAGATTGCCATCACGATGAAAGTAAATCAAATCCACAAGCAATTCTTTGCAAACGCAACAAACGAAACAACCAGGATGCCAGCAAATCTGCGAGCCGACACGTTGAGCAAAGACCACAATGTCACCAGCGGATAATGGCTCATCGCACTGCAAGGGAAACGAAAAAAAAAAAATGTAGAGAAGGTAAGCAAGATTGTACATAAGTCTCAGTGTGCACAATTGTTTGTACATAAAAAAAGTATTAAAGAATGTGCTTAATATTAAATGTAAATTTAAGTAGATAAAATTTTGTAAACAAATTGCATTTTTGTGTTAGCGATTTTATTTACAGCGGCCTGCAAATAAAACTGGGAAATAGCTATTAATAATACGCTTGTATGGTGAAGGAAGGGGAGGGAGGGATACGCAGTGGAGGTTTTTAATGAAAAAAATAATAATAATACTAAAAGTAGATATGTACATAGTTAAAAGGTATATTGTAGGTGTTTTTTTGGTTATACATAGTAGCTTGTTCGGTGAGGGCGTGTAAAACATTAGCTGATGAAAATCTTAAATATTTTTTATATTTAAATAACAATAAATGTTAAATAGCCATCGTATAAAACGTTTATGCCTAGCGGTAGGTAATAAAACTGAAACAAAAAGTTATAAAGGAAATATCGAGGTTGAAGCCAAAATACGCAAAAGGAAACAACAAAAGCAGCAACATTTTCAGACGCAAATACGTGGCTGGCCGAAGTAGCAAAGGTTTTCTGTGGTGTTTGTTAGTTCTGTGAACCGCTAAACGATTTGAATGGCAAATTTGTGGGTTCCGTTCAGGGATGGAAATAATGTAAATTGCTTAGAGCAATGAGTGAAAGTGTTCCTTTGGGAATTTTTACGATCAAATCGTAATAAAAAGGTTGGCATGAAAATTCTTTTAAACATAAATATTTGCCAACTTAAACGAAACAAACAAACGCCGATGAAACAAGTATGTGAAGTGAAGTGAGCCTAGAGGTTTAACTAAAACTCCCTTTTGGACTTTTTTGAAATGTTTTCGTTTTTTTTTTACTATTTACACAGTAAATAACATATATGTATGTACATTAGGTCGGGTCAATTTCTATGGGAGATTTTTTCGACTACTTATGTGCGTATAGCACATATGTAATTTTAAGCAAATTTGCCGAAGAAACCAGGGCTCAAAAATCAATATGGAGTTTGCCAAATGTCGTAAAGAAGTGCTTAAAATTTGTATAAAAATATGCTATAAAGGGTTTTTTGGTATGACGAATCCGTTTATGCACATATTTTTCTTAAAAATGCCACCAGAGGGCGTAACAGTGAACATTATGATATTTTCTTCGAAACCCATTTTCGGAATTTGGAAAACTCCAAATTGGTTTTAGATCCATCTGTGCTATACGCATATAAATAGTCGAAAAAATCTCCCATAGAAATTGACCCGAACTAATGTACACAAATATGTATATGTTATTTACTGTGTAACTAGTTCAAAATATGCATAAATTTCGAAAAAGTCCAAAAGGGTATTTTTGTTAAACTCCCAGGCTTACTTCACTTACATACTTTCTTCATCGGCGTTATTTTGTTTCATTTAAGTTGGCAAATGTGTTTAAAAGAATTTTCATGCTAACCTTTTTATTACGCCGGCAAATTTGCTTAGAATGACACGTAGAATCCTCCTTAGCAATACCCGAATAGTAAAAAAAAAATTTACCCGCCCTAATGTACATTAGCGTGGGCCAAAAATATGCGTTTTTAGAATTTTGATTGGTAATAGCAAAAATATAGTTCATAATGCTTTAAAAATAAGCTGTGTGAAAGAATTCAATTTTTGGTCAATATCTTAGATTCGCCCAAGTCCATCAAAGTTGCAGTATAAAAAAAAAATTTTTCTTAGCTAATTTCGATTTTCTACAAAAAGGGTCCATATACCAAGTTATGTTGGACTAATACTTTCGAAGATTATTGCAATTTTACTTACTTACCAAATTACTTTATTTATTAATTTTTATTTTTTGAGCATATTGAACTTTGATGGACTTGGGCGAGCCTAGGATATTGACCAAAAAGTTCCAAATTTCACACACATTTGTTTTAAAGCATAATGGATTATATTTTTGTTATTACCAATCAAAATTCTAAAAAATCGGATTTTCGGCCCACCCTAATGTACATGCATAGATGAAATGTTAAGGAAATTACAAATAGGGCCTGCAATGCCTTTTACTTTAGCAAAAATTCTCACAATGACAAGAGGGCATTGACTAAGTACAGTCGTTAATACGCCCTTTAAAAAATATATAAGTTATCTAAAAAAGATTATTCAAGTAATATACCAGGTGCTTTCCCAACATTCCCTTGAATTTATGAAATGGGTCGCAAAACTAGAGTTCGAAATGACAAATAATTTCGGTAAAAAATATCTATCCTGAGTAATGTTGCCAGTTTTTTTTCAAACACTATATTTTCAACAGAAAAAACTATAACGTCCAAAAATAGGGGATTTGACATGCTGTAGTTTCTTAACCATATGATTGGAATGCAGATGACTTGTTTTAATCAAAGGAGGAATCGCGGCACCTCCATCGCCTCTTTTCCACTTAAAAAATATACTTCCAAACAAACCCAAAAAAGATATTTTAGTTTATTATTTCAAAAATCAATAAATCAACCTTATCCACCACTGAATTTTCTCAGGTACAATATGCATTTCAACTGTGATTGTATGGATTCTGGTCGAAGTGATTTAAATTTTTATTTTTTATCTAAGCAACGGCTTTTATTTGAAATTGAAGTGCAAAGCATTTAAAATTGTACAAAGAAAGGACCTGAAAGAATAACCAATGTAACAGTAAGTGCGAAAACTGTGCACAGGAGGCTGAAGTAGTATGTTCCGAATGTAAGGAAAACCACTTTTGACTTAAAAGACAAGTAATTTTTAAACAAAAAACAAAACCGACTTCAATTCTCATATATAAATTTAAGAGTACCGTTAATTTCTTCATGATCCAAAATCGGATCTGAACCAAATTACCAGTACGGGACCACCTCTGAGCTACCACCTTTCCTTTAAAGAAATAACTATGGAAATCGGTTAACGTGGTCCAAAGTTATGCGGTAACATACATAAAAAAAATGCCGACGAATTGATAGTCACCCTTTTTTTTTGAAGTCGGTTAATGAGCAAAAATGCACCGTATACGAATCTTGGAGCAGTGGAAAACGGTAATATGGACGGATGAAAGCAGATTTAATTAGCACTGCAACGACCATTTACAACAGGGGTACTCAACAAATTTAAGTTACTGAGACAAACGACAACAACGTCAATACTAATTACAACAACATAGTTCTGCGAATCGCAAAAAATAATGTGAGCCAACGCGAGGCAACAGTGAATAAATGACGATCAATTTTTGTCCGTGAACATTTTCTCGAAAGCCAAATGCTCTGAGCATACTTTTTTTTACACGAGGTACTTTGCTCTTTTTTGATGGGATGATGAACGCCCAAGAGCATGGAGACGTTGTATACATACAATGGTATCGTCCCCGTCGTGGAAGAAAAATATGGGCAGGCATATTTGTTAGGCCATCTTTCAGGACGACTCCGCATCCTGCCAACGGGCAAAATCATTAAGTTTTGATACCGTATTCAATCACCGATATCTCCTCATGTTTAGATCATCTGCCGCCGAAGGTGGTCCAACTGCATATTAGAGCATTTACTAAAATATATAATCAGAAAGATTACGCGGTAGGAACACTAAAATGACTCAAAAAACGCCGAGATACGTAAACTTAATTTTGGGTCGTAGGTTACCGTTTTTCTACATCAGGTATTTTCTCAAGATTTTTAATTTCAAGTCTGCGTTGCGAATGGAAAAAGATTAACCTTGAACTTGGAAAATGTTACCCATACGCTAGGTACCAGTAAATTTGAGTATCATCATGTGCGATGTGGCGTATGAGTAACATTTTTCCGGTCCTATTTCATAAAAAAATTATTAAAACTTGTTTATTTATCCATCTATTTATTTGATTTTGATTAAAAAATTGTTCCCAGTTACAGTTTGAATATTTTTTCATAAAAATGAAAATAGTATTTTGGGAAAATGACTTTCTGCAAAACGTAGGTAAAGGGGGGCCAGGATGATGGGATGATGAGGTGGAATCATCACAACACCTGCTACGAAACACATGCGAAAAGCACCTAATAGAACTTCAAACGATTTTTTTTTAAATGTTTCTGATGGTCTCATTCAAATACGACCATAGAGCAGAATACGAACAAAATTTTAGATCGAATTATCAAGGAAGGGTATAATTTAATGAAAACTAAAAATATACGCTTTCGAAAAACTTTGGTTTAAAGCTATTAAAATGTTTAATTAAACTACACACAATAGTATGCTAGATACTCCTTAGTAGAAAAAAAATGTATGTAAAAACGAAACACTACTAAAGCGACATATTGAAAACCGCAACATTTACCAGCTTATTTCATTTAAGTTAAAACACAAAGTAATTAAATCGACACTCCAATCGCTAGCTCCGATCAAATCAGCTTGCCACGCAGGGAATGCTTTTCGAGTATTAACCCATGCCGACCGGAGGCGCAGTCAAATTTGGCTTGCCTCTCCAACTCGCCCCCATAGCTGCCACAAATCACAACAAACTTTACGGCGCACATTTTCGCGACACTATCACTTGAAGCACTAAATAAATAAAATGGTGCGCTCTTGAGGCATGTCTGCGTCTGTGTGTGTGTGCGCCTTTGGTCTTTTGAAGCCATTTTAGGTGCCTTCGTACCCCACCACTTGCATAGCTAATTGTCGCCTCTTAGATTTCAAGAATTTAACTCCACTCAGGGCAGTTGACTATTTGCGCACCGCAAATTAATCCAACCACTCAACACTGCAATTTCCCGGCAAGCTTGGCTCTAAAATGGCTTCATTAGCTTGCTTGCGGTGGCAATGCAATTACCGACAATACTACCGATTTCAGTGCTACTACTACATATGTACTATTACGCCACAAAGTACAAGCGCAAATTACCATTTCTTTTTCTTTGGCAATTGTGTTGCATACTTGAAGGCGCATTGCCATTGTGGCAGTCATTGCCTTTATGCCGTTTAA